ACTAATGGACTTGATATGGGTTTCAGAATATTCGTGCCAATAATGCACAGGGGTATGGAGGAAGGCGTGGGGGACAGGAGGCAACAGTTGAAGGTCAGAGATCTAGTGACATAGCAAGATTCACAAAGTGAAAGTTCAAAGCTTATGTACATTGTCTGTGAAGTGGTAGAATGGTTGAAGGTAGACTATGATAAATTAAAGATACATACTATAATTTCTAGAGTTATGCTGCCCAAAAAACCTTTCCACAGTGATAGGAATAGTCTAAATTTGTGCTATCCAACTGGTAGCCACTTGCCACATGGATCATAGCTCTAAAATGTGAGGATAAGAACAAATCTAAGAAAGAAAAATTAAGGGTGCCTGGGTGGCTCAGTCATTAAGCGTCTTCCTTCGGCTTGGGTCATGATCCCAGGGTCCTGGGATCGAGCCCCGCATCAGGCTCCCTGCTCAGCAGGGAGACTGCTTCTCCCCCTCCCACTCCCCCCTGCCTGTGTTCTGTCTCTCTCTGTGTCTCTCTCTGTCAAATAAATAAATAAAATCTTAAAAAAAAAAAGAAAGAAAAATTAAATTTTTCTTGGTACAAAAAGGGAGACTTGCCCTCCCTGTTCCTCTTCCTCAGAGCATTTACTTTAGAAAACTTATCACTGCTAATTCTTTCTTTGCCCTTTTCAGATAATATAGAAATCTTTTTAAAACTAAGTGAGCTTTGGGGTGCCTGGGTGGTTCAGTCATTAAGCATCTGCCTTCAGCTCAGGTCATGATCCCAGGGTCCTGGGATCGAGCCCCGCATCGGGCTCCCTGCTCCGCGGGAAGCCTGCTTCTCCCTCTCCCACTGCCCCCGCTTGTGTTCCCTCTCTCGCTGTGTCTCTTTCTGTCAAATAAATAAATAAAATCTTTAAAAAAATAAATAAAATAAAACTAAATGAGCTTTTTGTCAGCTTTATAAGCAGCCACGTCCTTCTCTAAGGCCTGGGACTCATCTCTTTGAACATCAAAGATGAGAACATCAAGGAAGATAGTACCTCAATCTCCTCTTCTCCATGGGCATCTGGATCCAGACTGTGACTAATTACCCATCACAGAGATATTAGAAGCCTTATTATTTCTTTGGATAAAGGCAATCAGCAACACAATGGCCACCTCAATTGCCAGGTGAATTTAAGATGAACTGTGTATGACCGATGGTGCTGGCAAGTCTTGCTTCAGGGCAAGTTCTCATTATGTTGTGAACATGCATGTAATGGGTTGTGTCTGCCAGGCTATATAAAAAAGTGAGATTTCTGTCTTTGCAATTTCTTTTTTTTTTTTTTAAAGATTTTATTTATTTATTTGACAGAGAGAGAGAGACAGCGAGAGAGGGAACACAAGCAGGGGGAGTGGGAGAGGGAGAAGCAGGCTCCCCGCCGAGCAAGGAGCCCCACAGATCCCAAGAACCTGGGATCATGACCTGAGCCAAAGGCAGAATCTTAACGACTGAGCCACCCAGGCATCCCTATCTTTGCAATTTCTTTATGGCTTGCCTGTGATGCACATTCTATTCTGGCATAATGCTTATTCAGTAATAACACTATTTTCTTTCTCTTCTACTCTTGTGGAGAGGTTTTTTTTTTTTTTTGGGGGGGGGGGTTGGCAGGAGATTTTTTTAAATTGGATTTCCACAAGAGGAACCAGTTAAAAGGTTGATAGAGGAGCCATGGTGGAATCCTAGAACATTCAGCACATAAAGGAAGGCAGGAAAGGAGCAAATGAAAAACAAACAAACAGATGGGACAAAGAGAAAACAAATATCAAGATGGCAGACTTAAGCTCATCAATATGAATAATTGCTGCAAGTAGACTAAAACCTCCCATTCAAAGTTAGGAAGTGTTAAAATGGATAAGAAAGCAAGACCCATCTCTATATTAATAAGACATACATTATAAAGTTGAGAGTAAAAAGATCCAAGATATAAACTATGCAAACACTAAGCATAATAAAGCCAGTGTGGCAATATTAATGTTAGGCAAAGCAGATTTCAGGACAAAGAATATAATCAGAGACAAAAGAGAGATATTCCATAATGATAAAAGGGCCAGTTCTTTGAAGAGACACAATCATGCTAAATATATTTGTACCCATTAACACAGGTCTAACAAGTTTCATGACACAGGTAGCAAAACTAGAAAAAATTAAACGAGGAGTAGGCAGAGCCACAATCAGCCAGAGATTTTAATATCCCTCTCTCAGCAATTAATAGAAAGAGTGGACCAAAAAATCAGTAATGATAAAGAGGACTTGAACTCCACTAAAATAGCGAAGCCAAGAAATTGTGTTATGTTAAAGAGGTAAGATTTGATCACCTTAACCCTGTCTTTGGAAGCACCTCATTTATAGGTGTTACTTGATAAGCAACATCTGCCTGTAGACATTTTGATGTGGTGGTGATTGGGATATGGTCTGCAGAAATCAACTAAAAATTGCTCCCATGTGCCACTTGAGGTGGGAGCCCTGAGGTCACAGAAATACTACACAGTCTTTATGCTTTAGGATGTCTTGATGTGCCAGTGTTGTGAAGTATTTATTAATGTGACATTATAATATAGGCAGAAACTCTGATCTTTTCTCTTGTAAACTATAACAACTCAAGCAGCTTCTTAACACTGATTGAGTGATTTCATCTCTTTGGGTTAGATGAGCGAGCTTTCTTTAGCCAAACCCAACAGCTTCTTCCAATGTTACTTTGTGGGCAGAGAGCAAACTCCAGTCCCTTAGGAACAAGGTTGCCAGACTTGGCAAAGAGAAATACAGAGTGCCCAGCTAAATTTGAATTTCAGATAAACAACAGAGACTTTTTTGCTTTGGGACATATTTACACTAAAATATATGTGAAATTAAAATTTCAGCAGGCCTTCTGGAAATGATGTTTTCATGTAAGCAGTTCTTTTTTTTTTTTTAAACATTATTTATTTATTTGACAGAGAAAGAGAGAGAGAGAGACAGTGAGAGTGGGAACACGAGCAGGGGGAGTGGGAGAAGGAGAAGCAGGTTTCCCGCCGAGCAAGGAGCCTGATGCGGGGCTCCTGGGATCATGACCTGAGCCGAAGGCAGAAGCTTAAATTAACGACTGAGCCACCCAGGCACCCCAGTGTAAGCAGTTCTAATTCAAATACCAAAGTCAAACAAATGCCTGTTTTCAGGGAGATCTCTCCTTTGATGCAAAACTATAGTCCTTGTAAAATATGACGGGGCAATAAAAAGATGATGGAAAAGGGTCACTCTAAAGGTCATCTTTTTATTTAAATATTTCATGATGATGCATGTACAAATATAATCTCCTAAGGAACAAATGTAAAACCTAATACAAATCACCATTTCAGGTACAAAAAAACCATTTAGAAAATGTGATTATGCTACATACAAGAGAGACAGGTTAGGTTTTCTGAGTCTGTCCAAGGAGTACGGTTAAGACCAAGTTTGGATTTTTGGAGTCCGCAGATCATATTCACATTTCACACAGTAGTGAAATTCCTGTTGCATACATAGCAAAATATAACTACTAAGTATATAATGGGGGGGGAAGCAACAATTACTAAGTAGAGAGTAAAACATTTAGATCATGGAAGACTGACCTTCACCTTGGCCACACACTTAATGATATTTAAAAATATATGCCTTTTGCCCATATACAGACAGTAGGGGCAAAACATATCTTTTGTATAACATAATTCAAGTAAAAAACACGTCTAAAAAAAGAATTTTTAAAGATTCATTTCCCTAGCAAAATACATTGAAAAATCAAAAAGTTAGTCTTTAATTTTGTTGTGGGAAATATTCACAACAACTGTTACTGATATGCACGCGTGCTTTGAAACTTTAAATGAGCTATTTTTTCAAGGAGCAATGAAAGCGTAATCTACTGAGAAGCCAAAATACCCAAATAACTTTTCAGAATGAAAGGCAAAAGGATGTTGTACAATTTCAGGCCAATTGTTCAATTGAATGATCTTTAATATTTAATATTCACGTAGTAAGTCAGGACTGGGCAGTCAGCGACATCTCAAACTCACAATTATCGACAGTATGGGGTGTTTCAGTATTTTTTGCAACTGTAAACAAAAAAAGATGGTTTCTAAAATTTGGTTTGATGCCACAAGTATTTATTTGGCACTCGTGTCATGTACTGAGGATACACAGCAGTAAAACAGGCAGGTTCCTATCACAGCGGAGAAGAAGCCAGTCTGGTGGTTAAGTTAGCTGTACCAAATTAGAAGATAATGTATCCTGAGTTTGTAAAAATAGTATAATATTCTAAAAAGTAAAATGATTTTATATTTATGAATTTTGCCCTAGATTATTCAACTGAATTTGAAGTGTTCATTATTTTCATGATTTTGGGGGGACACAGGGAAGCAATAATGTTATTTTTATGGTCATACAACACACACGCAGAGACCTACAATGTGTGTTCTTTACTGTGTCAATGTCTCCAAATTCAGTCATCCTAAAACAGATTAAAACGCCAGGCCTCTAGTCCTCAGTCGTCCAGACTGTGCACGTGGTTTTGGAGAAATGAGGTATTATTGATAATCTGCTAGGGGCTGTCAAGTATGGGATACAGAACGGCAACGTTCAAGGTGAATGCAGTAGGGCCAAGAGGCCCAGTCAGCTTCATGGGTGGCTGGACTGGACAGCTGAAGCCCTGGCTACTCTGTGTCCATTTGGTGAACTCTTGGAAGCCGGACTGACTCTCTAATTTGCTTTGTGAATATTGTTTGGCCATAGCTCACTAAAAGGCACTTAAGACATCGCATCGTCCTTATGCCTTCAGCAAACCCTGGAGCATTTCTGAAGCCCACCCCCGGAGGCTGGGACGGCAAGGCTGGTTGTGTATTAGTGACTGAGAAGAGTTTTAAGCCCGATGTGTATGTCTCGTTAAGTCTACAGCCTCATCAGAAGACAGGCCCGCTGAAACCGTGAAATGGGACTCCGGGTCAGAGTAAGAACGGCGGCCTACGTGTCAGGAGTAAGAAGGCTGCACGATGCTGTGCTTGGAGACTCTGGTAGACGTGGTGCAAGTAGCATTAGAACGACCAGACTCCTCTAAACTGAAATTTGGCAGGGGGCCACGGACCGCGGCTCCAGAAACCTCTGTCTTTCTGGCCATCACCGAGGTTTCGGCAGGAAATGGGTAACTGGAGGCAGGGATTCGCACCCTTTCTGTCACTGTCACATTTGGTCCCGCTGCCACAGCGGCCGTGGCCAGGGGGGGCTGCAGCCCTGAGCTGGGGGCAAGGAAGCGCTCTCTCTCCCTCACCATAACGTAATGCGCATCTGGCCGATGCTGAGAGCCTTCCAGAGGACCAGGCAGGCCCCCGTTAGGCTGGATGATTCTCTCAGTAACCACAACACTACTGCCATTAGCATAATGCGGCTCTATGAAGGGAGGGGCCGGTGCATACGTCTGCTCCCTCACGATAAGGGCCTGGGACGGGCCAGGACCCAGGATCACGGTGCTGGGTGGCATCGTGGAGCCGGTGGTGTAGGAAGTTTCTGTCACTACAACGTTACCAGAAGCCAATGGATGAGGGAGCAGAGTAGCTACCTTTTGACCCTGCCTAGAAGATACGGAGCTTTCAGTGACTATTTCCTGAGTTACTTTCTCTGCATTTGCTTCATGCAAAGGCTTTGGAACCTGAAAGCTACTACCAGAGAAGTAGGCATTCTCCGAATTAATGCTGGTTTGCTCACTGAATGAATGTGAAGCTGCCTTCGTACTTGACGCTCCCACAGGTTTTTGCCTCTGCTCAGTTTCCCCAACCATATCTATTTTTTGACCCAAGCAAATTTCAGCTAGTGTCCTGAATTTAAACCCTAAATCATCTAGAAAGTGATCATCGAGTTCTCCTTCAATAAAACTGCAGCAGCCAATGGAACCATGGAGAGATGCAGTGTCTTCCTGAGAATAAACCAGAAGGCAGTCTTTGCCTTCGTGAATGTCATCTTCTTCAGTGCAAGAGGCAGCTTTCTAAAACGGAAATAAAACACAGAGGCGTGGAATTAGTGACACAACTTCACTTAAGAATAAGACTATGTCCCCGCCCCAAATGCAGAACCTGAGTCTCCTTATAAGAGAACATCAGAGACACACAAATGGAAGGACATCCTACAACACGGCTGGCACGCAGTTTTTTTTTTTTTTTTTTAAATTCATATCATGAAAGATAAGAAAGGCAAGACTCTGAATTAGGTCTTAGATGGGAAAAACAATGGCTGCAAAAAGACATTACTGGGATAATTGGCGAAACTGAAATATGGAATATGGCACGTTAAATCTCTAAATTTGTTCACTGTATTATATTAAGAAAATGTACATGTGAGAGAGAGAGAGAGGGACAGAGAGGGGGAGAGATTAAGAAAGCAAATAGCAAATAGCAAATAGCAAAGGGTTAATAATTGGGTAATCTGGGTAAAGAATATACAGAAGTTCACAATTTCTTCTGTTCTTGGAAATTTTCTGGTAAGTGTGAAATGATTTCTGAATAAAAAAATTGCTCACAGGGCGCCTGGGTGGCTCAGTTGGTTAAGCGACTGCCTTCGGCTCAGGTCATGATCCTGGAGTCCCGGAATCGAGTCCCACATCGGGCTTCCTGCTCAGCAGGGAGTCTGCTTCTCCCTCTGACCCTCTTCCCTCTCGTGCTCTCTATCTCTCATTCTCTCTCTTTCTCAAATAAATAAATAAAATCTTAAAAAAAAAAATTGCTCACATACACACACAGCCAAGTCTGACTGGAGCAGGATTTGAGTGGAGAGGGAAAACTATTAAAATGAAACTAACAGGGCACCCCAGACTGGAGCTTGGCAGTGAGACAGAAAGGGGATGAGCAGAAATGGTTTTCCTGACGTGGACCGCATCACCATCTTCCCATCAAGCTAACAGGTGGGCAGATGGTCTGAAAGAAACGCGGGAGTAGGAGACAGGCCGGGCAAAAGCACTCCGGTAATTGGCTATCATGTAGAGAGGGGACAGAAATAAACTGGCCTCCTTAGAAGTCCATCCCTTCACTTGTCTCAAGTGTCCTTCAGATGCCCAACACTCTGACTCTGCCCTTCCCTGTGTGGGGCACATGGATCTTCTTCTCAAGAAAGGTACCCAGCCCTGCTTCCAATTCCTCATTCCAGGCATGAGCTTTCTGACTACATCCCATCATCTCTCCTGCACCTCTCCTCCTGATTTTTTATGAACCTCCTCAATAGTGAGGCCAAGTAGACAAAATGTAAACACACATAATAGATTGTGATTGTTAGGTTACGTATTCTCTCTGCTCCTCGCGGGCTCATCCCTATCAGGTCTGCTCCGGCAGACAAACTGTACTCTCTGAGCCACTGACATCTGGCTTCGTCATGTGACTCGCTCTGACCAGTGAAATGTGAGCCCCCCCAAAAGGCAGCTGTTTGAGGAGGCAGTCATTGCCTGGTTCTGCGTGGCTCTGTTCCCCGTTCCCCGAGGACCGCACCTGCCCAGTCCAATCCGCTCTCTCCGAGTGCATCTTAGAATGAAGGCAACATGGAGAAGAGCAGAGTTGTGTCAACTGAGAAAAACAGGAATGTGAGAAATAAGCTTCTGCAAGAAGTAAGATTGTGGGGTCATTTGAATCACTACAGAATGGAGCTAACTGATTTAATGGGCCACATCTGTCTTTCCTCACTGCCTATAAGCATTCTCTTAAAAAACGACACAGTCCTATTTAGACCCAAGGCAATGATTACCCGAATAATACCGCCTTCACATATAGATGTCCCCCTGCGCCAGCACCTATAAAAACCAACCCTTACCTTAGTGAAATAACTTTTTAAGAATTCTTCGTTGGCCACAACAGCAGCTGCTCGAGCTCCGGCCAGGTCTCTGGAAGACCCTGTGACTTTTGTGATCCTGGCCGTTTCAGCGCCTATGTTGGCTCCTGTTGTCCCTGTCACTTCAGTAACTCCACCAGAAATCAGGCTTCTGTGTTCTTCCCATCTTCCATCCACCTCAGACACCTCATGATGCCCTTTGGTGAAGGCAAACCTATTTTCTTTTGTGGTTTCCTTGGTTGCTATACTTCCCACTCCCGTGTCGACAGCTACATCCTCTCCATTATCTGCCGTCACATGCAAAGGCACCACCTATGAAAGCAAATACAGCGGAGGGGTGAGAAGGATGGAGGTCAGTACAAGTGGTAAAAGGATCTGAGCTAAGCAGGCAGGCGAAGGGAATAAGCTATTTCCACAGAAGCAAACTAGGAAAAATATTTTGGGTTGAATAACTTGTATTTGAGTCTTCTGAAGATCTCCATTCCACCTTCTTGCTTTGTTAGCTGATTATAACCCAAGGAGAAAACAAAAATTATTTAAATATGGTCTCAGCTCATTTATTCTATTGGCATCAGTGGCATTTCAACTTTCCTCTAGGGTTTAATGCCTCCTTCTATAGTTATTAAATTTTTTTTTTTCTTAGCTGGACACATGGTTACTCCAAATAAAGACAATCTTTCCAAGCCTCCACTGCTACTCAGAAGGGCTACCTAAGTTCTGGTTAATGTGATTTCAAGCAGAAATGGGGTAGGCAACTTTTGGGAAGTGTTCTTTAAGAACAATTCTTCCAATCTGCTTTTTGGAATGTGGAGACAGCAGCTAGCTCCAGACGGAGCACGAAGACAGGATGGGAATGGAACTCATCCACGGAGGAACAACACGGAAGGAGGAGCCGGGACCATATTGTAGAGGAATCATCATGCTGATCCTTGACTGCCCATATTCATATTTAAGCCTCTGTTATTCTGAGTTCTCTGACGCTTGATGCTAAATCGTGTCCTATTGAACACAATGCTTATTGCAGATGGTGATGACTGGCCCGGGGTGAAGACGCAAGAGAAACGGGATCTCCTCCTGTCTATTAAGTAGGGGGGAGGGAAGATTTTGCAAAATCTTATAACTGTTCCGGGCGTGGTGGGTTTACCTCTCCCAACCCTATGTATTGAGGGGAACAGAGATGGAGAAGCATATCCTTCATTCCCTGACCCTTTCTTAACATTCTCTGTAACATAGGACCTATCACAGCAGAATAAGACCACTTCAACTCTGCCCTAGCAACCAACACAAAATACGCGCTCATTTGAACTCTTTGTTTTAACAAAGATATGTGAAGGAAATCTATAATGACTATGTTACTCTCTCATGACTTAAAATGTTAGAAACAGCTCCCAAAGGCCCTTAAATGGGGAAAGAAGGCAAGTTCCACTGATATCTGATTGTCTGACCTTGTCTTCAGGTGGCGCCCCTTCACTATTCCAAGGATGCAGCATCTCTATAGTGCCAGGAATGGGGGTGAAGCCTTTGGCACCTTCTCCACAATGGCACATCAGCAGTAAAAGTGGTACAACTGGACAGAAACAAAATTGAGTCCAGAGAAGGTTAGTTCCAACATATTTCTAAATTTATATTGCCTAATTTTGGAATTTGCATTTTGCTTCTTAGAGTTCAGTCTTCACTTATTTACAGCCCTATTTTTACATTTTTCTTTTCTTCACTCTGATCCAACCTCACCAAGCTTGTTTTGGTGAATCATATCAAAGCCTAAAGGCAGCATGAGGGAGTCCTCATTCATCACAGAAAGGCTGTGTATGGTTCCTGGATGGAGCACCAAGGCTGGATTCGATAGCATGCAAATCATCAAAGCCAATTTAGAGACTTAAATCTTCTTTTTTTTTCTTTTTTAAAAGATTTTATTTATTTATTTGACAGAGAGAGGGAACACAAACAGGGGGAGTGGGAGAGGGAGAAGCAGGCTTCCCACTGAGCAGGGAGCTTAATGCGGGGCTTGATCCCAGGACCCTGGGATCATGACCTGAGCCAAAGGCAGACACTTAATGACTGAGCCACTCAGGTGCCCCGAGACTTAAATCTTCTGCTGTTCTTTTAAATCACTTTTTTAATATAAGAAAATTCACTATCCAAAAAAAATATATATGTTAAAAAGATCAAACACTCCGAGGGCTAGGAAAATTTTAATATGTTCAAATATTCTAGACCACTGGAACTTCTAAAATACTTTACCACTTCATCCTGGAGTAGAATTTAGCAGAAGGCATGGCAAACTGAGGTTCAAATTAACATTTGAATTACCTGAGGATTATTTTCGAGAATGACTCTACATTAAAAGCCCTTAAAATATATATAATATTTCATCACGAATTCAATAAGATTTCAGGGCTCCCTCCTTAAATTTTATGCTATCTCAGGGAGGAAGTGAAAGCCAAAGTTGTCTTCTTGATCAGTGTAGTCAAGAATTAATTACACCTGAGGACAGTCCTTCTCCAATTAGCTTTTACTGCCACTTCCGTTTGGCAGCTTCCAGTGATGAATTGACTACTTCCTAGATCCCCTTTTGTGTGAAATAGCTGACAGCTGAGTAAATATAGCCACTGTGAGTAGCTACACTGTGAGTAAAAAACTGAAATTAGCCAGTGGCAACTCGACCATTTCAACAGATTTAACAAATGCTCACCAAGTGTGTACCGCGAGCCAAGCACCACACTGGGCCCCAGGGAGTCTGAGATGAGAAGGCAATGCAAGGGGTCTCTGGGTAAAGGATACAGTCCCAGCTCCAGTACCTGGTGACAGACCTGGTGAGCTGAGACAAGTCATTTCTCCACCCACGTCTGTATTTTTACCCGTAAAACAGAGACGATGGTATAAACGTACACTGTAAACCGTTGAGTGCTGTGCACTCAGTTGCACATCTAACACTGGCTTTGACAAGGCCCTCCTTCATCACTGAGATCACTGGGGGTGCCTGAGAGGTAGCCCTTGTTCAGCAGCAAGTGGAGTGGGATTCTACACGACCCTAAGCTGCAGTAGTTTGCTCTTTCATGAAAGGAAACCGGAGGTCTTCGGAGGCCATGCAGGGAAGGCAGGACTGGTTGTCATTGTCAGAAAGCACAGAAGCGCTCAGAGGTGGGGCTACTGTTGGTGCAGGGGAAGGGGCAAGCAAAGCAGAAGGTGTGAGGAGGCCGAGCCCCGACAAGTGGAAGGTGCAAAGCAAGAACTGATGGGAACAGGAGGAGTCCGTAAAATACCTTTGTATCCATCACCCAAATTTACCCAACAAATCTTTTCTTTGAGAGCCTACCGTGTGCAAGGCACTGTTCTAAGCAAAGGTGTGGAAGAACAGACAACGTCCCTCATCACAGAGCTTATCACCACCCAGGCTGTCTAGTAAACTTGGTTATTTAAATCGGGAAATGACATGTTTTTATAAAACAAAAATTCATTTTTATGAGACAAAATTCTGCAGAGGGCTAGAATAATCTTTGGTGAATTTATTAATGGTCACTTATTGTTTCCCTAATCACCCTTGGAAGTGTTCCCGTGTGGTGAAAGACTCACTGTGAAGAAATCAATGACTACTACTGCAACAAAACACTGGTAGGGCACTGAAATGACTAGATTAGCTAAAGAGTGGCTTTTAAAATACTTACGTAGCAACAGCAGGAGGGCAAAAATTATTAGCGCAATGGCTGCGGGTCCCAGGCCAACGGAGGAGTCACTCAGATGTTCCATGCAACTGCCACCAACCACACACTTACAGATTGTGAGTTGGAGCACCTGCTTTTCAGGGCAACTGAAACCCTGACTATCCGAAATCAGAAACTGAATTTCATGTCTCCCAAGCTTTTGTTCCTTTTGTTGCAGTAGCACACTGGTACCTACAAGGGGAGAGGTGGGCAAAAGGAAATAGAAATGAGTGATTACCAAGGAAGGGGTGAAGGGAAACATTCTTTAATTACTGATAATATTTAGCTCCAGTGAGCAGCTTTATTCTTGCTTAGCTTCTCTACTGAATTCACATCGTGGGCTTGTTAAAATTAGTCCAGATCCCCCCAAGAGGCAGGTTGATAGCAAAGAATTGGATTTGGACACATCTTCCTTTTATGATTAATTTTAACAAATATGTGTGATGTCTACCGAATGCTAGAAACTGTTCTACGTACCAGGAATATAGCAACAAACAAGTGGCGAGTTAAATGACATTTCCGTTAAATGACATTTCCATTAAATGACCTTTATTTTACCATCTTGAAAAAACTTTGTTAAGGCAATTTTCAAAAAGACAATAATAGAAGAGTGTAGTTAACACTTCCCCAGCTTTAGTAACTTTCAACAATGGGCCAATCTCATTTTATCTAGTCTCCTCCTTTTTGTTCCCGATACTGTACCACTATATATTCAAACTTTTGAAAAATTTCAAATCTACAGAAAAATTGTAAGAATATTACAATGAATACCCTTACCCTTTGTGACTTGTTTACATTCTATAACAATACTTTCTATCCACTCACTTTTTTCTGAAGTATTTGCAAGGAAGTTGCAGATATTATGGTACACACATCAGCATGTACCTTCTAGGACCAAGGGACGTTAGCCCTCTCAAAAAATTTAGTATTGATATAACTCATAGTCAAACTTTTCAGTTGTTGCAATAATGCCCTTTATAGTTCTCGTTCTGTTTTTTTTCCCTTGATCCTGCATTCAATCAAGAATTATGCATTGCCTTTAGCTGTCACCCCAATCTCTATGAATGGTCTAGGTCAGTCCCACCCTTTTTTTTGGCCATCAAGACCTTGCATTTTTGAAGGCCACCTATTTCAAAGGATGCTCTGCAGTTTGAATTTGTCTGATTATTTCCTCATGATTGGATTCAGGTTACACATATCTGGCAAGAACATGACACAAAGTGTTGTATGAATGAACTTCTATCTTATTTTTTTTTTAATGTGACTGATGATTGTTTTCAAATTTTTCTTTCACATGAATAAAAATAATGACCAGTTTTCACTTGAGTAAAAATAATGATCAGGTACAAGAGCTTAAAAATTACTTTGACATATTCATAACACTTATTTAAAAATAATAAACTTGCAAGACATGTAAACCCGGATGAACACAAAGATAAAAATGAGGTGTTTGGGGTTTGTTTTGTTTTGTTTATTTTTAGGAGTAAAAAAATAGCCTCTTTTCATTTTAAGGTCCAAATTTTATAGAATTTGACCTGCATAGCTAGAATATACTTATTAAATCATCCTCAAAGCCTTGGAGAAGGGAGAAAAGCATCTAGTCATTTAAAGAAGTAAAAACTCATGAAAAAAAAAATCCATGAAAACATGGCCTGGAAGAAGAACATAATTAAATTTGTGATTGGCTCTGAGGGGGCGAGTTGAGAGGGGAGAAAAGGCAAAATGAGGGCTTCTATTTTATCCATTATCATAAAAAAAAAGAGGTCTCATTCAAATATAAGAAACTGTTAATATTTCTTAAATTCTAGGTGGTAGGTACAAAGATGTCTGCCATATTGGTCACTGGAATTTTCTGTGCTTTAAATTTTCCCAAATAAATAAAAATAGATAAGAGCTATTTATTATTATGTAACGAAGGAGAAGAAAATTGGTTTACAGAATCCTCTCTCTCTAAATTGTCTAGGTATACAAAGTATAAATCTCAGCGACTTCCTCTTATAACACTCCAACATGCATATCCTTAAGAGTTTTGTGGTTCCTAAGACTATAAAAAATTCAAGGACCCATCAAATTCAAACATCTTGATCTTTAGATAGAAAACATATTTATGTATCCAGAAAGATTCCAGAGCCGGACTGCTTGGGTTCAAATCCTAGTTCCAGCTTTTAGCTAGCTGTGACCTTGAGAATATGTTTTTTTTAAGATTCTATTTATTTATTTATTTATTTGAGAGAGAGAGAAAGAGAGAGAGAGAGAGCACCTGAGCAGGGGCAGAGAGAAGAGAAACAGACTCCCCTGCTGAGCAGGGAGCCCGACTCGGGACTTGATCCCAGGACCCTGGGATCACGACCTGAGCCGAAGGCAGACACTTAACCCACCGCACCATCCAGGTGCCCCTGACCTTGAGAATGTTAAGAAAACTCTCTGTGCCCTTGTTTCTTCATCTGTAAAATGTTGATGACAGTAGGGCCAAACTTGTAAGGTGGTTAACATTAGTAGAGTGCTTCATCTCCCAAATCTCATGTTTCTCAGATAAAATAAGTAAGAGTTGGAAAGCCAGTAAGTTCAATGCAAAACATGTTTACACATCTTAATAAAAGAAAGGCCAGCTCCAATCAAGCATTCGACCTGGGTGGGAGTCCCAGGCTTCTGTGAGTACAGAATTAGATACTGAACAGGGAGACCAACCACTTTTCAAGTTTTGAGGCCTGTGACTTAATTACCCTAAGAGGAATCATCTGGATGTCTGCCACCCAGGGCTCATGCTAGCTGAAAACTTTGTCTTAAATAATTGGTAATCAGGATGGTGACGGTTGTCCTCAGAGGGGAGGCAACTTGAGTTAACTGAGAGCATAACTATCTTCTGCCAGTGAGTACATAAACCCTAAGAAGATTTAAAATTAGTTATAGGATATTTAAGCAAATTAAAGACATGGTTTTATTTTTTATTTTTTTTAAAGATTTTATTTATTTATTTGACAGAGAGATAGAGAGCACAAGTAGGCAGAGAAGCAGGCAGAGGGAGAGGGAGAAGTAGGTTCCCCGCAGAGCAGGGAGCCCGATGCGGGGCTCGATCCCAGGACCCTGGGATCATGACCTGAGCCGAAGGCAGCCGCTTAACTGACTGAGCCACCCAGGTGCCCCAAAGACATGGTTTTAATATTTTTGTATCATGGCAATTATTTGTAATTGTTACTGTGTTTTCATACTTGTATCATTTTTAGGAAAATTAGCTCTATTAACGTGACAGCTTTGTACTCCAATTTAAAATATGTGATTATGTTACTGATTTGCTCTTGTAGCTGTAGTTTGAAATATCACTGGTTTGTTCAGTATTGGACCACTGAAGAGGATTTCAGGTTCAGTGTATTTATAAGTCACATTTATTGGAATTTTAGAGTTATAGGGATCACAAGAAGTGAGAATAATGCATTTGATTAATTCAGATCACTGAAATACACAGGCAAAAAACAAAATACACTAAATTTATAAACGTAGTTTGAGATGTTGAAGGTGTTTGTTTACTCTGTAAATTGGACCAAATATTATCCAAAGCTTCTTAAAATGGCTATAAAAATCTGTTAGATTTAAAATAACAATAAATTTGTTAATTAAGAAAAGCTTGGGTCTTATATTTGAAACTTTTCTAAAATGAATACTAATTGTTTAAAACAAAATAGTCTCCTGGATAGTTTGTGGTATTCAAAACCACCCTGGAGGACATGCAGAAGCTCACATCAACAAGCAGTATGTCTAAGACACGGATATACACACAGGTCCACCTTGAATGGGGGCGGGGGTCAGAGAGACCCTTCCTCATGCTGTGTCCATCACTGACCAGCTTTGTGACTTTGAACAGCTACTTAATTCTAGGTAAGCCAAGATTTCTCAGCTGTAATCAGGGAATTGTTATAGATTAAAGGATTAAATGAGGTAGTGTCTATGAAGGGCCAGCAGAGGGCCTCGGACACAGTAAGTCATTCATAAATATTATTTTAATGGAACTGTTATCATAGCTTAAGAATTTAGAAGGCATCTACTCTGATTGCTGTGCTTAGACAGGCCAACCACTCCTCGTAAGACAAAACAACCATTTCAGGAGTGACTTAGGGAATACCCAGGTATCTTTAAGACGTCAGGTTATTTTTCTTCTCTTCATCTTCTGTGACTCCAAATGGGGCATCTGCTATAGGCCTATGATTGAAAGACACTATCCCTGAGCTCCACAACCTCATTTTATCAACTTCTGTACAAAATTGTATCGGAAATATAATTTATGAAAAAAAAAACACAGCCTATGTTATAACGATTTTAGATTTCTCTCAGGTTTGATATTTAAATATTGTAGTCCAGTGATTTTGCTTACTTTCTTTGTGTACTATTTGCCATTTTTCTGCCATTCCGGCTGGTTTGTCGATGATGGAGAAACTGAAAGGCCCGCTGTATGTGGGTCCATCCAGGTCCTCTGCGGTCACATTCACATAATGCACGTCATCACAGAGAGTCTGCACTGGGTTGACCAGTGTGGGACAGTTGTCATTGATGTCCCCCACTGTGATAACAATAGTGCCCGTGATGGTTTTTCTGGGATAACCTTAAAAATGAGAAAGAAGAAACACGTATATGCTGCTCATATTGCTGACAACAGACACAGTTTGAAATCTCTTTCCGGTTTGGTAAGGAGAAGGTACTAACAAATTACGGCACTTTCCATCCTAGATACATTTTAATATTTAGATCAAGTCATGTTTTTTAATTCACTAAATGAGTAGAAATATGAAGGTTTTTTTCATTGGAGAGATTTGGTTTTCCTGCAAGAACAAAATGAACGTCTTGGGTGTTCCAAAATAATATTTAGATACACATAACCAAGAAAAATATATTTGTAATAACTTACTTTCAGATATTGCCAAAATCTTTGCAGTGTATGTACCATTTCGGACATATCTGGATTCAAAATCAGGAATTTTTACAAGTTTAATTTCAGATGTGACAGAATCCACAGAGATCCAGTTGTCTATATCTTCCAATTTGGCATATCTGTTATCAAACAAACATAAAAATAATTTTCATTTCTGGGTAAACTGATAATCTCTAATAATCTACAACTCTTTCAAGCTTAATTTTTGGTTCATTATCTATGTTCTTGTTATAGGCATTAATTTGAAATGTTTTTAATTTCTTGAAACTCTCCTAAAAGGCCCCTCTCTTTACTGCATATCACCCTTATTTGGAACCTTCCCTATTTCTGTAATATACCCAAGACATATGCAAAGGCAATCCTTTCTTGCCTACAAACCCAGGAAATTTCCAAGTTGTTCTGCAGTCTGTCCTACAGCTTTTGGTCTAGTCTCCCTTAAATTTGGGGTAAACCTTTGGAGAGTAACTTAGTTACCCAACAACAACTGGTGGAGAAAATGTATTTGCTACTTTCTTGCCTCTGATACTTTATTTCAGGAAATAAGACAGGTTTAGACAGAATATAAGACAGGAAGTTTCTTTCTGAACTTTCTCTTTGTTGCTTTTCAGCTTTCTCTAGCGAGAATTACTTGGAGGTGAAGCACCCAGCCTCTGCCGCACACTCAATTGGTGGAAGGAAGGTGGTCGGGGGCGGGGGGGGGGGTGGCGGGGAATTTCTCCCTGATTCTCAGTTGCAGGTACAACTCTGGATAATTCAATTTCCAGACCTTTGGGGGACTGTAATGCTGGGAGGAAAGGAATAAAGTGTTCATATTTCATTAAGATTTTTTGAAGACAGGGATTTAAAGTAATTTAAAATAAGGAAATATATTCGTAACTATCTCTTACTTTACATGGGCTACTTGTCCAGTGTCTTCGTCAAAAGCTTGAAATTTTCCAATTATTTGGCTTTGGCTTGATTTATCCATGCTCTCGCTAACATGAACTGAGATTGTGCTGCTTTTAAAATGAATGCCTTCTTTCACATTTTTCACCTTTACTTTGAAGGGAATGGATATAGGCTTATATTTATTCTTAACTGATTTGTGAAAAGCTGCTTTGTTGGTGACAGTAATGCTGAAATCAAGATTCTTTATTTCTTCATAATCTACTTCCTAGGAAGACAAAATCAAAGGGAATTCTTTCAAAAGAGAAAACAACACACACACAGCATACATACACACACATACAGTTTTAATGTTAGATATAACAATTTAACATATGGGGAATACATTAGCACTCAGTATTCTAACTCATACTGATACCAAGCAATTAAAAAGTCTGTTAGTTTGGATATTCATCAATGTTAAGGATGATTTAGGGCGCAGCCCCAGTTTATCTTTTTAAAGTTCAAATTATTTAAAATATATTATATAAACACACACACATATATATTTAAGAATCCAAAGTGATTCTTTTACTTTACTGAAAAAAGTTAATGGACATGCAATATAATATTCCTTAAAATGTATTCTATATGTTTGTTCCGGTGAAAAGGGTTACATGCCTAGTGGTAGCAGCCGGCTGTCCCCCTAGTATAGACTTTCATTGCACATGAGCATACCAAAAAGCTGAGACCTCCTGGTTTAACCTGCCTAAACCCAAGGGTTTTCAAATTTATTTAAACAAAGAACCTATCCCCCCCTTTATAACATAACGTCTATTAATATCTGGTTTGCTATTAATTCCATAAAAGATTAACTTTCCTCCAAATATTGTTCTTTGTGAATTGTGAAATTTATAAAGTACATTTGATATAGTGTATCACTATACATATTTTATGTTCCAATTTGTTCATTTTCTTTTTATAAACATTTCTACAGTATTCTATTTAGATATATTTATATTACTTAGCCATTTGATTATTAGGCATTTGGACTATATGTAATTTTTAAATATAATTAACACCGTTGTGAAAATTTTTACACAAATTATTTTTCCTCTGTTGAGCTATATCCCACTATGAAAAGAAATACCTAGTCAAAGGTTATTTAGATCCTGTTGATTTTTATTTCTAGTGGTCCTGACCATTTAAATTCATGGGCCATTTTTGCTTGTTTCTTCAGTGTAACATTAAATGTATTACATGTGTTTACATGAATTACTGCAAAACTGTTCACTTTGTTTTTCGATGATTTATTACAAAATCATGTTCCTCTCTGTAGGGTTCTGGATGGGTAACAGCTTCTGCCCTCTTTTTAAAATGGGCCACTAGGGTGTTGAGACAAGGACTCAACAGAAAATGACTAGAGAAAATATACTCTTTGTGACTGTAGAATCCTTTTGAAAGTTATTTCTTTTTAAGCTGCTATTGCACTTGACATATTTGTTTTAATAGCATGACGTATGCTGGATGCAAAATAAAATATTCCAGCCAGATGTCATTAGTAGTCACAGACCATGGAAGGCCACAACAATGTTAAAAAATGAGCTAGGTACTAGGGCCATAGAAACTGTTTCATGGTGTTTATTATAAATAGCCATACTTCTCCAAAGAGAAAGAAAAAAATTTTCAGCATCATGAACAATGAATGAGGGCAAATACCTCTGTTTTTAAAACTGTCAATATATTTTATCATTTCCATTTTTGCTTTTAATAGCATTAAAGATTTTAAATGTATTTGTTAAATTGTTAACAAAGCTGTGGCTTTTTCTCATACGATGAAATATCAGTATCTGTATTTCCACAGTTTATAAAGTTTCTGTTCTTAGGGCACCTGGGTGGCTCAGTCTGTTAAGGGTCTGCCTTCAGCTCAGGTCATGATCCCAGGGTCCTGGGATCGAGCCCCACATCGGGCTCCCTGCTCAGCAGGGAGTCTGCTTCTCCCTCTCCCTCTGCCTGCCACTCCCCCTGCTTGTGCTCTCTCTCTGTCAAATAAATAAATAAAATCTTAAAAAAAAATAAAGTATCTGTTCTCCTTTTGACAGCTTTATTGAAGTATAATTTACATAGAATAAAATTCACCCATTTGAAGTGTACAACATGATGATTTTTAGCAAACCTGTACAGTTTTGCCAATGTCACTACCATCCAGTTTGAGAACATGTTCATCACCCCAAGAAGTTCCTTTTTGCCTGTTTGTAGTCAATCATTACTCACAGCCCCAGCCCTGAGCAATCAATGTCTATATCCATTGTTTTGCTTTTCTAGAAATTTCACATAGATAAAATCATACAATATGTACTATTTTGTGTCTGGCTTCTTATACAAAGCATGATTTTGAGATTCATCCATGCTGTAGTAAGTATGAGTACTCCATTCCCTTTTATTAACCAGTAGTGTTCCATTATGCGGATATACTGCATTTTACTTGCTCATCAGCTGATGGGCATTTTTATTGCTACCAGCTTTCGACTATAATGAATAAAAGCTGCTTATAAACATTTGCACATTAGTTTTGTATAGATATATTTCTTTCTTTCTTTCTTTCTGGACATGCAAATGTTTTATTAGTCTTAAGTGTACAACATAGTGATTTGACACTTCTACACATTATACAATGTTCACCATGATAAGTGGTTACCACTGACATCACACAAGTTATTACAATATATGCTTTTATTTTTCATGGGTGGATACCTAGGACTAAATCTTTGGGTCACTGAGTAACTACCTGGTGTTTAACATTTTAAAAAACTGCCAAACTAGCTGTATCATTTTATGTTTCCACCAGCAAGAGATAGGAGTTCAGTTTCTGCATAATGTTGCCGATTGCTGGTGTTGTCAGTCTTTTTGACCATAGCCACTCAAGTAGATGCATTGTGCTATCTCTTATAGCTTTAATTTTCATCTTCCCTAATGACTAATGATATTGAGTATCCTTTATGTGCATATTTGCTATCGGTATATCTTCTTTGTCTAACTTCCTTTGAATGGAATCTGACTATTGCTCTTAAAATTCGGAAGCAATTCTTTATATAATTGAGACAGTAAATTTATAATTTTCTCAACCTGCTGTTGTCACTTTAATGCTAATTTTACTATTTTTTGCTATGCCCCCTTTGGTAGAAAGACCTATATCCCTTTTTGTGCTACCATGGTAGAGTGAGAATACTTCTAGAACTTCTATCATTCATCACTGACTTTCTCCTTATGTAGTATTGGCTTTTTGTCTTAAGCATCTAGCAAGGTTGTACTCATATTCTATGACTAAGAGGACTGCTTACTTCTATATAAGTAGGCAAATCTATTTGTCTCTGATGCCATTATCCACTTCTTGCATAATTATAAAATGGGTCTTCCCTTTAAACATAAGGTAATCTTATTCTATTTTCCTTTACTTTACAAGTGGTAGTCTAAGTGCATACAATAGCCTATTAATAAATGGTGCACATAATTATTACCATGAAAATTCAAGTTAATATTTCTCTATTCTGTTATCATTATTCCTCTCCCTATGGTTGGACTTTACCTACTTTGTCATATATTAAGTTTTTGTAAAAGTTTAGAAACTTCTGGAATCAACTTTGTGTGTGATTAATGGAATAGTATTTTGAAAGCTGTAAGCCATTTAAAAATACATTGATATTCTTCCTTACTTATAATGTTAGATAAAAAATCCGTCCTATAATTTTTGTTTAAAAAATTCTGTGGGGGTAGGGGCATCTGGGTGGCTCAGTGGTTAAGCGTCTGCCTTCGGCTCAGGTCATGATCCCAGGGTCCTGGGATCGAGCCCTGCATCAGGCTCCCTGCTGGGCGGGAAGCCTGCTTCTCCCTCTCCCACTCCCCCTGCTTGTGTTCCTGCTCTTGCTATTTCTCTCTCTGTCAAATAAATAAATAAAATCTTAAAAAAAAATTCTGTGGGGGTAATAAATTTCAAATGTATAAGACCCGTATGCTTAATAAGATTATTTTTCTTTCACTGATTCAATTAAGCACAAGAAGTTAGACCATTGTGTTTCAAAATGTGACCCTCATACTACTTACATTAGAATCACAAGTGGATTTCTGTTATAAAGGCATGTTCCTGAGCTCCACCCCATCAGACTTGATCATGGGGCCCAGGAATCTGCATTTGGGGCATATAACTTTACAAGGTGACTCTTAGGCATAGTTAAGTATGAAGACAACTGGATTCAAGCTTTGTCAAGTTATTACAGCTTTTGTTTTTAGATGCTATTAGTGAGGTCTGGCTTTATGTTAAGTTGATCAAATAAGAGATAATAAATTGGGGATAATTAGTAGAGGCAAGAGGTCATGATGTAAGGATGCCCTAGTCAGACACAGGTTGCAAGCAAGACAGGAAGTGTGCTGAGCAATAATGACGCTGGTATCATGTTGTCAGATTAGGATTTGAGTTCCCTGATCGGAATTTGGACTGTAGTGTGACCATGTGCTAACTACAGAACTGGGGCAAATAGCGAGGTCTCCAATCTCAAACAGTTGTGGTGTCGGTTGAGTATATAAAGCACTCTTAAGTGTTTGAGGCTTAAAATACAATCATTTCTTTCTCTGCACCAACTTTTCCCATTCCAATTTTGAACACTAAGTGCTTACCTTAATAAGGGTCACGATTCCTTCATTTGTTTGAGTATCAGTTTCTATGTGGAAATAACCCATTTCATTTCCTGATACAAATGTAAAATTTGCTAACCAATTATCAGAGCCTATTTCATCTGCATCGAACACTTTTATGCGCATAACTTCTACGTTGGCTTGATTTTCTTCAACTACCCATTCAGTCTGCAAAACATGAACACAGGGTTTTTATTTTAATGTAGCACAAACGTAAGTGATATATTTTTAGGTAGGACTAAAATATGAGTAAGAAGATACATCTGTTATAAAAATAGCTACCATTCCATTTTTGACTACAGGTATATTGTCATTGACATCCAAAATACGAATCTGAACTTGAGCTTGTTTTACTGGTTTATCTGTAATTTGTCCATTGCCGTCTCTTGCTTCTACCGTCAAAGTATAGCTGCTGTGTTCCTGCAAGGCAATGAAAAATATCCATCTCGGGTGAAAACTGATCACTCCCAAATCTGTCTTTCTAGTTCATTTCATCATCAAGAGAATGAACCACAGTATATTTTATTCATAAATACGTTTTACGATCTGTTATTCATGTGAAGATGCTGTTTATTTGCCGTCAGAGCATATCTAGAAGCCAGAAAAAGCTTAGAGAAGTTGTTGGTAGTCAAATTCTTAAATATGTCGTTGGTGACATTATCAGGAAATGAGTCCCTCCTTAAAATAGTCTGTGAACAAAGAAGTGCCATTCAAAATGTAGTTTGCTCTACAGGGAAGTGATGGGGGGCGTGACTATAGGAATTGGTTCCTTCTTCATTTTTAGCTAAGAATTAAGCAAGGAAAACCTAGTCCCCAAGAAAACTTGGCTGGTGAGGAAAAAATGCAGTCGATTTTGTCCAGACGTTCTGAGAGAGATGATTCTTAGAGAACCTGTCCTGGAGAATGATGTCCCACATGGTATTCCAAAGTGAGCCCTTCTTTTCCACACGGTCCCCTTATGGGGGCTCCATTTGGTAATGCTGGAGTGTAAGAAAAAGCGGGGGCAGCCAGTGCCAATGCATGGGGTCCTGTGTGGGACAGAACAGCTCAGTGCGAGTCAGGACAACTAAGGCGCTGGAGCCAGTTGCTTGGGTTCCATTCTGTCTTTGTCACTTGCTAGCTGTGTTGGAAATACCCTTAATCCTTTTGACCCTTGGCTTCCTTCTGTGTAAGATGGGGATAATAACTGGATTTGCATCACAGAGTTTTTAGGTGGATTAAATGGGTTAATCTACGTAAAAGGCTTCGAATAGCACTTGGCACATGGTAGATGCCCAATAAGTGACAGACATCGTTATTGGCTACACTTGCCCTACTTCACAGACAGCAGCTTGTCACAAATCAGGATAGTTAAAAATAATACTTTTCCATTGTAATTTTATGTGGAAAGGTACAGAATAGAATTTTAGGGAGTAATAATATTCTTTAGTTTTACAGAGATCCTGTTAGCAATGTTGGGCACAATCTTCTCCCTCTCTGGGCAAAATGAAATCATTTTCCCAAGTAATACAAAATATAGTGACTGCACCTGGATGATGACTTATGTTTGATGACAATAGTGTTCTTAGGATCATCCACATTTTCCTTGTGCACACTGTTAAAACCTTCATGTATGTAGCATTTAAAAAATCTTCTATTTCCTGTTTTCATCTAAAACTTTCCCTTTGAGTTAGAAATAAAAAAGTGAAATGTTTGAGAATAGCCTGCTCAGGAATCCCACTGAAATTTTCCTCCAATTTGGGATTTACAATGATTCTTTCCTTTACGAATATTTCTATTATCCTGAGTAGGACTCTTATGTCAGTCTCTGTTCCTCGTTCTATGTCTGTATTAGCGGTAGAGGAGACCCCTGATGTTTCATTACAGAAGCACAAATTATGAATCATTGCTTTAGGATGCTCTAGCAAACAGAATCCTGACTGGAAAGGCCCTAGAACAGAGCTGTCCTCATGTTAAGTTTTCTAATAGTCAAATTTTAAAAAGTTAAAAAAAGGTGATATTACTGATTTTAAACAAATACATTTTATTTAACCCATGGTATCTTAAATATTATTGCGTCAACATGCAATCGATAGAATATTACTAAGGTGATATGTTACATTTTTAAATTCATGCTAAGTTTTTCCAAGCTGGTGACTTTTTTACATTTATAGCACATCTCAATTTGGACAAATCACACTTCAAGTGCTCAATGGCCACATATGGCTAATGGCTACCATACTGAACTGCACATCACTAGAAGAGGGTATTTCTAGGATTTATCCTATAAATGAAGAATATCTAAGAAAGTAAGAAAATTAAAAAAGAAATAAAGAGAAAGGAAAACCTGAAAAGATAAAGAGTTTAAAAGATGAGCAACATAAAATACTAATTTACCTCTCTGTCCAAGGCGAAACTGGTTGTATAAATCTCCCCTGTGTCTTTATTTAGGTGGAACACTGGAGGATAAGCAGGCTCCTGAGATACGATTCTATAGGAAATTTTAGAATTCAAGGTATTGGGCTCATCTGCATCTGTTGCGCTGATTTTCATCACAAAGGTATCTGGCATTAGAAACAAAGGTGTCCAAGGTGAAGCTCAACTTTAAGCACAAGTTATGTACGTTATTATTCTAATTTCATCCTGTTCACAAAAGGATTTCAAGTGCTTATCAAAATCGCAGTTTACCAAGATGAAAAACTTTAATTGGATGAGAAAGTGTGAATGGGGTGCAGAAATAGGAAAGATAAGAAAAGGGCAAGGCTGCAAATTTATTTATAATAGTTCTAATAATCAATACAAAGAAGGAAGGATGAACAGGTACAAATACATGTTTAGTAAAATACAAACAATTCAGAAGAAGCATAGCTGTTCTTTTATTATGATCAAAGAGAAATCTCTCCTGCAAATCTTCACATGGACCACTGCATTGGACCATGTTGTCAATAAACCCGACAATAGGAATAATGTAAGTCAAAGGTCAGCGAACTATGGCCAGTGGGCCAAAGCCAAAGCCAGCCATCTGTTTCTGTAAATAACATTTTATGGGAAAACAGCCACATCCATTTGTTCACAGGTTGTCAATGGCTACTTTCCAGCTACAAGGCAGCACAGTTGCTACAGAGACCTAACCCATCCCATTGATCTGCCATGTCTGTTCTTTTCTTTTTTTTTAAGATTTTATTTATTTATTTGACAGAGAGAGAGATAGTGAGAGCAGGAACACACACAGGAAGAGTGGGAGAGGGAGAAGCAGGCTTCCCGCTGAGCAGGGAGCCCGATGTGGGGCTTGATCCCAGGACCCTGGGATCATGACCTGAGCCAAAGGCTTAACGACTGAGCCACCCAGGCGTCCCTGCCATGTCTGTTCTGAGGGTAAAAAAAAGATGTCACATAAAGCCTTCAGAATTTATCACAGAAAAAGCGGTTCCAAACCTAGAGGGATGGGTTTGTTACCATTTGTCCTGTGGTAGTACTTAGCCTCCATCAAGATATAGGATTTAGCGTTCAGTTATATAATGGGGTTATTAACATGACTGGTGGTACTCATTCATAAAATTAACAAACTCTGACCTGCGGCACTCAGCTCTTCAATAGACCCAGCAAAGACGTCCTGTGTGAACACTGGCTCATTGTCATTGATATCTAGAACTTTAATGCGGAGTTCTAATGGTTTCTCCAGGTTGTTTCCTCTTTCATCCAAAGCATAACCAACTAGCTGAAATCATGACATAAATAATATAAGAGATTAAATGTAAGCTAAAGTAATTAAATTACCACAATATAAAAACAAATCATAACTATTACCAAAGAAAAACTGCAGACTAATTAACGTAAAACTGTTCTACTTACCAGAAAACTTGGCGTTTCTTCTCGATCAAGAATCCTGGTGATGTTCAATTCTCCCGTGTTTTTATTAAAGACAAACACACCAAACGGTGACTCTGTGATCCCTTTTCCAGTGTATTTGTATGTAATTTTTAGTCCTCTTTCTTCTGCAATATCAGAATGTATCTAACATAAAAATAACAGAAGAATGCCCCAAGTTAAACTCTCTGTAACTTACATGCACATATTTTTAATGAAAAATTTCCCTCTGAAGTTGTCATAATGTTGATAGGAGGGAGTGGGGAGGACACAAGCACTCAAGAGAAGATGGCTGATGTCAGAGAACCTGGGTTCAAATCTTGTCTCAGCCACTTACTGGTTATGTGATACTAAGAGTTATGAAACCTCACTGTGCCTCAGTGTTCCTATCAGGAGAGTGGAGAGACACTACTGCCTACCTCTTATGGTTGCTATGAAACTAAGATATCATTAGGGGTATATCTTGGGAGGACAGATTTCAAATTTAGCACATGAGGAGGGGCGCCTGGGTGGCTCAGTCAGTTAAGCATCAGACTTTTGATTCTGGCTCTGGACATGATCTCAGGGTCATGAGATTGAGCCCAGTGTCGGGCTTCACGATGGGTGTGGAATCTGCTTGAGATTCTCTCTCCCTCTCTCTCTGCCCCTCCCCCCGCTCTCTCTCTAAAAAATAAAAAATAAATAAAATATAGCTTATATTTAGCACATGAAGAAAAAATTGGAGTGTCAAAATCACCTCTATAAATCCATTCAATCATCTGCAAAGTCTGAATAAGGCATCCTTCTATAGAAGGATTAAAAAAGTCAAGTGTCTTCCCTGCTTGGAATGCCTCAGGAAATTCATGCATCTAACCCATTTCTAATGTCTTTGGTAGTCGTCTTTTTTTTCTATAAACAATTTCATTCGTGTCTGTAATTCTTCATTAGTAAATGTGTCTCTGTGGTCCCCTACTGGTTCCTTAATATTCTTCTTCAGACATCTTAGAAGCCATGGCCACTCACCTACCTGATCACTTCTTTGTCCTGAAACCTGGGGATTAGTTACACTTCCTTCCTATAGGTTTCCCAACATGCACTGGGGGTGGGGAACTGCTGTTGAGAATGACCAAGGAGACAGCAGATGGGGGCCTCCAACCTCCTGCTACACCACACCAGCTCTGCTCCTGAAGTGGAATGGTGAATCTGGGGCAGTCCATGATTACCTTTCACTGAGCTTCTGTCTCCATCTGTTTGCCTTTCTCTTTCTCTTGTGCTTCTGTCTGTCTCTGTTTTTTGCCAAGTATATGCATATATATATAAACATGTATATGTGTGTGTGTGTATAGTATTTCTAAAGAATTCTAGATCTTCATGTACTAATTATATATTACATCATGCTATTTAGGTTAAAAATAACCTAAATGAAACTGTGTGGACATAACTGTTGGTTTGTTTGTATTTATGTATATACATAAGAGTATGTAAGTATACACATACTTATGAATTTCTTAAGATTTAGAGGACACTACACTGTTGACAGTATTACCTCTACAAAGAGAATTTGGAAAGTTGGGGAAATTCAACAAGATCTTTTACTTTTTATGTAAATTATACATATGTGACAACTTTTTATGTAAATTTTACATATGTAACAACTCATGTAACGTAAATGTAATGTAAATGTAAAATTACTAAGAACAACTAATGCTCACTGAATCCCAAAGAATCAATGCATTTTGGAGAAACCTATTGAAAAAAATGTATGAATGACTCAAACACCTCAGAAAACCAAACCAAACCAGCAAATTTAATTGCTTGTATACATACTATTATGTAAAGCCATAATTAAAAATTCAAATTTGAGAAGGCTTTTATGAAAAAAATATGTTCCTAGACAGAGGAAATCATTGTCTTCTGTTCTGTAGCTGCTCTTCCTTTGAAGGAGCTCGTTTACAATTTGGAAAGATAAAGATAATACTTGGATATGAACATGTATTCATTCACACGTTTCCTGAGCCCCCACTGGATGTTGGCATTGCTTGGGGGTACAGGGCATGAGCTGTGAGCCTAAGAACTAAGCCCCTGCCCTCAGGGAGCTTACACTCTACTAAGCGAGCCAGACAACAAACAAGTAATGTATGGCATGTCATGTAGTGGAATGCACTATAACCAGGCTGAAATGGAAGTAAAGGGATAGAGAGAGATGGGGTGAGGCAGAAAAGGGAACTCTTTTAGGGGATGACACTTGGGCAAAGGCTTGATGCTGTGAGATACTGCAAGTATCTATGGGGAGAGGATTCCAGGCACAGGGAGTAGCAAGGGCAAAGGGTGATGAGCTGGGAAGAATCTATGTTGGTTTAGGGATGTAGGAGAGTGAGAGATGGGGGGGGCGGTGTTAGGAGCTGAAGTTAGAGAGGAGGTCTTGTATTAGAGCTCTACAGGTCAGAGTAAAGAATATTCCTTCCACTGCAGCAGGAAGGTGGAAGGTTGAACATTGGGGGTGAACATTGAAAGCCCTTCATAAGGGGGTGAACATGCTTTGATTTGTCTTTTTAAAAGATCACTCTGGCTGCTTTCTGGAGAATGGACTGTGGCAGGGTGGGGGATGGTAAGAGCGAAGCAGGCAGACAAGGTCAGGGGTTCTTTTGCTAGCTCAGGTCAGAGATGACACTGACTTGGATGATGAGGTGGCAGTGGAGAGAAGTGAGCAGATCTGGAATATATTCTGGAGGTAGAACTGATAGTGTCTGCTACATTTTTGAAAAACTGGGTAGAATTATAGTGTCATTGACTGAAATGGGTAGAACTGATGGAGGACAGTTTCAGGGGACAAATTAAGGGCTCAGGTGTGCACATGCTAAGTCCAAGATACATACTAGCAGGATTACCATCTAATTTATTAAAAATAGGACATTTTGAGAGTGAAAGGGGGTTATCAATTATTAGGTCAGGACAATAGGTATACCTATTGGTGTAGGTATGTATGGTCACCCTCCCTATTAGATACCAGTTCTTTTCATTTTGAAAATTACTTTTTATATGTAGGGTGGCAGAATATGCCATCCCCAAATATGTCACTTTGGTGTAGTATTAATTTGAGCTGAAGGCAATTGAAAAGCAGATTCAAGAAAAGTTCTCTGCCCTTCCCCTATGTGCCTAAAAGCAAGCCATAAATTTGCAAAGGTGTCCTCCCTCCCTTCTGTACCAGGAAGGACAAAATTTAATCATCAGAGACAACTTCAGACCCTTATCAGCTTAGAGAAGGCACCAAGCATCCACATAACGAACTGTATTAACTAGACTATCTCTATCACTGGTTCCCCATATATTGACCTTCCCACAATTTTCCATCCCTAGAGATTCAAGGACCTTTTCCTTTGTCTTGTCACGTCTCTAAAGTTTACTGTTGCTTTGCTAAGATGCTTTATAAGCCCCAGTTCTAACCAAACCTTTGAATTATTCATCTCTGGGTACTCCCATGTGTTATAGGAGCAATACACACATTAATAAACTTGTTTGTTTTTCTCCTGCTAATCTGTCTTTTGTCAGTCCAATTTATAGGGCACCAGTCAGAGAAAGTACGGAGGATAGCAGGAAAAAGAATCTTTCCTCCTCTACATATAATATTCTCTTTTGAGTATTGTAGCCCTCTCAATTAAACAAAGATTCAACTAGTGTCAGATCCCTGACTCTTAGGTGAATCAAAGCCCCAAATTCTATAATACATATAGAATATTAAAAGACTCATTAAGTACATTATATTATTCTCCTTAAATTTAAAAATGAACATAAAAGTCTTCTCCCACTATATTTCAATAATATACATATATTTCCTATTTCTCTGTAGAAGGTACCCTGGCAATCGGATTCCTTTTGGACAGATCCTCTCCTTCCCGAAGAGCCACCGGGGCGGTGATCCAGGAACGCTTTTGCCGCACTGAGTGAGTGTGTTTAGGAAGCAGAGTATTTTCATTTCTTGTGTTTAAAACCTACAACAATAAAATATTGTCAAAAAATTATTAAGTATCCTAAAACATTAGTATGGTATTCTGTAATTTACAAAAACTTTTTATTATTATTTATTTTGTAATTTTTAAAATTTTTTATTGTTATGTTAATCACCATAATTACATCATTAGTTTTTGATGTAGTGTTCCATGATTCATTGTTGTGCATAACACCCAGTGCTCCACGCAGAACGTGCCCTCCTTAATACCCATCACCAGGCTAACCCATCCCCCCACCCCCCTCCCCTCTAGAACCCTCAGTTTGTTTTTCAGAGTCCATCGTCTCTCATGGTTTGTCTCCCTGTAATTTACAAAAACTTTAAAAATAGTTACGCAAATCTTAAGGTATAAATTTCATATTTTTTAACAGGGTTCATTTTCAAAGGGGAAGTATATACACTCTAACAAACTCCACAGGCATTCAAGAAATTGTCTCTAAACCAGTAGAACAGTATAGTTTTGTTTTTATCAGTAAGAATAGATTTCCCAGAGTGAAGAGTTACAAAGGCTTATTAAAGTGTCCAGACTAAGGCCTAAGATGGAGTTGCCTATGCTAAGCCTCACATCAATACACTGGAACCTAACTAAATTTCTGTGCTTGGATCTCCCAGAAAAGGAAGGCCTAGGCCAAGCAGTCAGCCCTGCCCTGCTCAGGATGTTATCTTATCTGCCCCAGCTCCCAAGTGACTCTGCTCTAATCAATCAGCAAATACCCAGCGTATAACTTCCTATTCTTGCTGGCTTTGGTCTATAAAACCCTCTTACTTTGTATAACTCTTTTCTAGACTGGATGCTTCCCTATTCATGATCACTGAATAAAGCCAACCAGATCTTTTCAAAATTTATGATCACTGGATTGTTCTTTTAACAGCCTAGAGTAATTGAGTGACCATAAAAATTGGCAAATTAAAAAATAATATAGTGTGTCAAAAATTCTTTCCTTATCGAAAACGAAGTTTCATTTTTCTGTGGTGGCTTATAGTTTAAAAATGAATTATTAAATGTTTTAAAACTAAATCTTAGTAACTAACCTGTGGCATCAATTTAACTGAAATATAGTGAAACTGTCAGTTAATGAATTTATTGTTTAAAGGATGAGGTAAAGGATTAAACTGTCCATCTTTTGTTTTCAGAACCTTAAGTAGAAAAGATTTATTCTATCTATTTGCAGTTGGGCTTTAATAGACAAACATTTTATGCAAGGAAAATTTCAATACAGCTGACCTAGTATATTAAGATCAGAAATGATTATTATACTAGGTTTATCATCTTATTGTGTTGCTCTATATAACATGTATTTTTTTCAGAATATGCTGGTTATCACTAGGTCATTAATTTTTTAAATTTTTAGTTGAAAAAATTTTTCTAGAACTTAAAAAATTAAATTATGTAACAAAAGAGCAAAATAACATTACAGTTCATAATGTAAAATACAAAACTTTATTCTACTTTTTCTCTTACACTTCAGAGTATTCACCGTTAACTGCTTGATGATCTTGTCTTACGACCTTACAGTTGCACATGTATAAAGCTCTTTGTCCTATAAAAATGGAATTACATCATACATCTTATTCTGCCCCTTGATTTTTCATTCAGTGCCTCATCATGGACATTCTTCATGTACCATAAGTTGTTTTACCATCTATCAGTGAACATTTAGATTGTCACAAAATGCTGCACTGAACATCCCTGGATATATGTTCCGTGGGATTGGCTAGGTAAGGGACTGTGCATTTTTAATCTGGTAAGGCATAGCCAAATTGCCTTCCATGAATTAAACCTCTGAGTCCAAAACACAGAAATGATCCCCTTCGTTCCTTACCTCTAAATGGAGTCCATTTCCAAAGTTAAAGCAGATCTGGAAAATAAAATTATTTATTTGTTGTTTAATATAATTTATCACTCAGTTCAGTTTAAATACTTGTTGATAACTTACCAAGTAAAATAGTATAGATATTTAAAAAAGGTTTAACCACCACCATTACTATCCTTCTTTGTAAAAAAAATACTTAATTTTCCCCTTTGTCCACCCCCCCCCCCCCCGCCGCCCCATGACGAGGGCCAGAGACGGGAATCTACATTCTTCTTGATCCACACTGCCTCCTCCAGGAAACTCAGAACACAACTAATATCTGAAAAACAAAAACAAGAACCCTCCATCTCACGTTCTCAGGGACCCACATAACTGTCCTCAAGGCCTTTAGTGTGAAATACACCGTCCACTCCTGGCTCTCCTAACTCCCATCATTTCCAGGGTCACCCACATGACCACCCATATTCAGACTTCATACTTAAATCCCACCAACTCTTTTCTTTGGTTCTTATCAAAAGCTGTCACACTTTGGGCTTCTTCATCACACAGAACTACATTACAGTTATGCTTACTCTAAAATCTGCACAATAGGGGAGTGCCTGGATGGCTCAGTTGGTTAAGTGGCTGACCCTTGATTTTGGCTCAGGCCATGATCTCAGGGTCGTGAAATCCAGCCCCACCTCGGGCTCCATGCTCTGTGTGGAGCCTGCTTAAGATTCTCTCTCCCTCTGCCCCTTCCCCCATACCCTCTTTCTAAAAAAATAAATTAAAAAAAATCTGCACAATAAAATCCTATCCTACCCTCTTTTGCTTCCCTTTCTTTTTAAAATTTTTTAAATTCAATTAGCCAATATATAAAACATCATTAGTTTCAGATGTAGATTTCAGTAATTCATCAGTTGCATATAACACTCAGCGCTCATCACATCATGTGCCCTCATTTTTGCCTGTTACCCAGTTACCCCATTCCCCCATGTACCTCCCCTTTAGCAACCCTCAGTTTGTTTCCTAGAGTTAAGAGTCTCTCATGGGTTGGGGAGCCTGGGTGGCTCAGTCGTTAAGCGTCTGCCTTCGGCTCAGGTCATGATCCCAGGGTCCTGGGATCGAGCCCCACATCAGGCTCCCTGCTCAGCGGGAAGCCTGCTTCTCCCTCTCCCACTCCCCCTGCTTGTGTTCCCTCTCTCTCGCTGTGTCTCTCTCTGTCAAATAAATAAATAAAATCTTAAAAAAAAAGAGTCTCTCATGGTTTGTCTCCCTCTCTGATTTCTTCCCATTCAGTTTTCCCTTCCTTCCCCTATGATCCTCTGCGCTATTTCTTATATTCCATAGAGTGAAACCATATAATTGTCTTTCTCTGATTGACTTATTTCACTCTTGCTGCCCTTTCTTTATAGTCCAATAATCTCTTGGTTTCACTTTTCCCTTGACTTAATTTAAACCAGTTCTTTTTTTAATTGTTTTTTAAAATTTCTTAAAGAGGGGCGCCTGGGTGGCTCCGTCATTAAGTGTCTGCCTTCAGCTCAGGTCATGATCCCAGAGTCCTAGGATCGAGCCCCGCATCAGGCTCCCTGCTCCGCGGGAAGCCTGCTTCTCCCTCTGCCACTCCCCCTGCTTGTGTTCCCTCTCTTGCTGGGTCTCTCTCTGTCAAATAAATAAATAAAACCTTCAAAATAAATAAATAAAGACACTCCATTCCTAGCTATTTATGCTGATTACCAAACCTTTCATCTTAATCACCTAAAACAGCAAATATACTTTGTTCACATTATAATACTGTATTAACCAACTGGGATCATGACCTGAGCCAAAGGCAGACGCGTTTTTTTTTTTTTAAAGATTTATTTATTTATTTTGAGAGACTGAGAATGAGAGAGAGAGAGAGGGAGAGCGCGCACATGAGAGGGGGGAGGGTCAGTGGGAGAAGCAGACTCCCCGCCAAGCAGGGAGCCTGATGCGGGACTCGATCCTGGGACTCCAGGAGCATGACCTGAGCCGAAGGCAGTCGCTTCACCGACTGAGCCACCCAGGGCCCCCAAAGGCAGACGCTTAACGACTGAGCCACCCAGGTGCTCCCCCCCTTTTTTTTAGATTTTACTTATTTATTTGAGAGAGAGACAGAGCATGAGCAGGGGGAGGAGCAGAGGGAGAGAGAGAGAGGGAGAAGCAAACTCCCTGCTCAGTGGGGAACCCGTCATAGAGCCTGATCCCAGGAGCTGGAGATCATGACTCCAGCAGAAGTCAGATGCTTAACTGACTGAGCTACCCAGATACCCCTAAGCCAGTTCTTTCTAATATGGTAGCTGGCTATTTACACTTAAATTATTTTATTTTATTTTATTTTTTAAAAATTTTTTTAAGGATTTTATTTATTCATTTGAGACACAGAGATACAGAGAGAGAGAAGAGAAAGCATGAGCAGGGAGAGAGGCAGAGGGAGAGGGAGAAGCAGGCTCCTTGCTGAGCCAGGAGCCCGATGTGGGGCTCGATCCCAGGACCCTGGGATCATGACCTGAGCCGAAGACAGATGCTTAACCACCTGAGCCACCCAGGTGCCCCTACACTTAAATTATTTTAAATTAATAATTCATTTGCTCACTGTTCACCAAACAAGTGGCTTGAAAACATTTCCAACACTGTAGACAACTCTATCAGACAACGCTAGTAGATTATTGCCAGCCATTCCAAAGACGTTGTCAGTGACTCTGGGACCCCTTAGTCTCTTGACTTTCTAATGTTCCTGCCTCGCTTTTTCCCCAACCCTGTGACCCTGTTACTCTCTTTGATTCTGGCACTGTACTGGTAACAATGCTAGACAGGGCCATAGAGGCTGAATAGACCCATCACATCCATTCACTTTCTAACAGCTGCTCCCTCCACAGAGGTGGTGACTCCTTTCTAGGGTGACCATGTGTTTACTTTTGCCCAGGAGAATCTTGATGACACCTGCTGTGCAGGCTTCCCATCTGTATAACCCATTCATTCCCAAAAATGTGCTCATTCAGACCATAAATTATATAGTTACCTTATCTTTGTATAGTAGCCCTATCATACCATTCCACACTTCAGGAGACAACCCCAATCACACGGATCACACCTCTGAACCCACTCACTCTTAGATGACCCCACTTTTTATCTGACTGAGATTGTATCTTCAATCCTCCCCTCCTTTCCTGCCTTCTCCAAGACAGAGGTGTCTTGATTCCCTTCCAAAGTTAAGCATCATCTGTATGCTTTATCTTCAATTTTCTACTTATTCCCCCACATTTACCTTCTCAAGAACCTTGTTCCTTCCACTAACTTTTTATCTTTACTCACCACTGGCTAATTAAACATGTTTATTTCCTTTCCACTGGCTAACCAAATATATTAAGATCTTCCCTACCTTAAAAACAAACAAACCTTCCCCCTGTTTCTGCGAACATTTAATCTGCACATATTCTTTTTTTTTACTATGATTCCAAACTGAAATTGTCTATATTTATTGCCTTCACTTTCTCACCTTTTATTTGTGTATTAATTTATTATAATCTGCCTTTAATTTGGATTTTCTGTCTTGTTTGCCTTTTCTCACCTACATTCCAGGTTCTATGAAGCCCTTGCTGATAAATCATGGAAAATAAGGCTTTCTCTAAAATGTCTAAGTCTCTTTCACCTATCCACTTCTCTTTGAAGGCTTCTTGCCGGGTGTGTTCTACATGTGGATCCTTCCCCTTTCTCTTTCCTCTACCTTGTTCATATTCTTATCTCTACCCCTGCAAAGAGAAACTCAAGGATAGTGGATGTTCAGTCTCTAGTCTGAGCCTCTATGGGGCAGACAAATGACCATGGCTCATTTTCTATTGTATGGCCAGATACATTATTTCTTCTGCACCTCATCCTCTTTATTACTGGCTAAAAATGCCAGAGGTATCTCTAGCCAAAGTTGTGCTCCCCAAATTCATGTATTTTCAAAGATGGCATGGTATGAAAAACAAGAGAAAGCAATGATGAATAGATTACTTCTCCCTGCATGTCTCTCTGGTGGGAATTTTTGAAAGGGAAGAGTAGTGACTGGATCCAACATTCCTCACTGTTACATCATCAGGAAACACTCTTAAAATGTAATATATTTCTTGCCTACCCATTTCTTTAGTTTGTACTGGCCATATTGAGGAATTGGCTAGATCGAATATTTACCACTTTTATTCTTCCCTAAAATTTTACTTGGCCTAGCAAAAAAGGTATAATAATTACATGGTATTTTATTAAATGTTATCATCCTGACTAAATATCATGTTTCATTAGTACATAAATAAAAGGGGGCAGTTTATAGTTCCCTATTCAAATGCAAATTCTTTATCAGACTATCTCCATTGATTTTTTTTCCCCTGGAATGTCCTTTTTCCTAGATGTTATTTGTTAAGAAACACAGACAATCATATGGTTACAAACAGTGCTTCCTAAACTTGAAATGTGCATTTTGCTCACTGGGGTTCTTGTTTAAAAAATAAAGATTTCAATTCAGTAGGTATGCAGTTTAGCCTTCCACTCTGCTTTTCTAACCAGCTCTTAGGGGATGCTGACATTGCCAGTTCTTGAGTAGCAAGGTGTGATGGAATATCAGTTGTTCGCTTATGGTTAAAGACAATGAAATTCACCTTATTCATTACAGTCTCAGTTCTTAACACAAGAAACTGTCATTCTTAATTACTAATATCTTGAATGCAGAGAATCTTATATTTCATGCATTTAACATTAAAAAATTTTAATTGCAAATATATACAAAAGTAGAGTGAATGAACATCCACTAAACAACACCTAGTTTCAATCATCTAGCACCCACTTTCTTTAAAAATAGATTTTTTATTTTTTTAAAATCTGTTTATTTGAGAGAAGGAGAGTGAGAGAGCATGAGAGGGGGAGGGTCAGAGGGAGAAGCAGGCTTCCCACCAAACTAGGTGTCCGATGCGGGACTCGATCCCGGGACTCCAGGATCATGACCTGAGCCGAAGGCAGTCGCTTAACCAACTGAGCCACCCAGGAGCCCCTCATCTTAAAATTTCTGAAATTTGAATTCATTAATGCCTTCAATTTCCTGAGCTCCTACAATATGCTACTAGAATGTTCTTATCCTCTTGGATTCTTACTTGATGGAGAGATAAGACAAAAATAGGTTGGGATAGCTGTAAAGAAAACTAAAGCAGGGACAGGGTGGTGGAGAGTGATTGAGGACTGAGGCTCTCAGAAGGGGTTTTACCTTCATCGAGACTGAACAGACTGGGGGAACAAGTCAGGCAGACTTTCCTGCAAAGGGAAGAGCCAGGCATGGGGTGGGAATGGTACCGGTGATCAAGGCTGGTGCTGTAAGGGGGCGGGGGGAGTGAGTCAGTGGAGATGATGTCAGGGCTTTTGGGGTGCTGGTAATCTTGTTTCTTGATCCGGTTGCTGGTCACACGCTGTGTTCAGTTTGTGAAAATTCAGTAATACAGTAAGTACACTTGTGATATCTACACTTTTCCATATGTTACACTAAAAAGTTACAGAAATTGATGTGCATCTTAAAGCCAAGCCCATGACAATTTTCTGTCACCAAGCTCCTGTGGAGGGAAGAGAGGTTGTCAAACCAGGGTGAGCTGCTACTGGCATTTAGTGGGTAGACAGCAAAGATGTAGCCCAACATCCTATAATGCATAGGACAGTTCTCCCAACAAAGCATTGTCTGGCTCCAAATGACAAAGTGCTGAGGTTCAGAAACCCTGATTTCGAACTTGCATCTCTGATTGGAAGTTACCATAATAACTAGAGTCAAGAAAGTCATACAAATTTCAGAAGACCGTGGATTTATGTAAACTTCCAAATGGGTACCATATTGCAGACAATGTAAGTGGAGTAACTGACATTTTCTGACTTCTGTTCTCCATCCCCACTCCTTCCCGTTTCCCTTTGAACATTTCCAGCTCTGTAAGTTTGAGTGATGGCCTGTAGGGATGTTGTAAAAGGGTTTCAAACATTGGAAGAATGTCTGGACACGATGACCATTATGGTTTCTCCCAAGTATGAAATCTATAGCTTTTTTTCTCACAGGACTTGGTGACAGAAGTCATGTGCAACATGCCTTTAAGACTGAAGAGGAAAAATAAACTTCTAGTCTAACCAAAGAAGTAATGTTTTTAGATGAAACAGACAAATCCTTCAATCCAATTCACTGAAGTTAAAAACAAGCTTTTGTTTTTACCATTGGATCCTATGCATCTTGTCAAAACTGGCCTTCCCAGTAACTGGCAAGAAAATAATTTTTCTTTTGGCAGAGGCATTAGGGAAAGTCATCACTGCAAAAATACTATCATTCAATGTACTGTTTGTTCTCAAGGATGGCACTTTTAGAAAAAAGACTTCCTGTTCTGAAGTCACCTTGATGATTTAATAAGCAGAATCCAGGAGGACTTATGAGTCATCCAAAGATAGCTTCTCCTGATTGATATGTTTTTGATTGGGAGTAGATGATCGTGAAGCTTTTTTCCATGTTTCTGAGTCCATGGTGAGATGACCCCTTAAACTTTAATAACTCAGACTAATAAATATCTTATTACAGATGAAATGTAGAGGGATACAAAGTAGTTTAAAAGCTGTTTCAACTTTGAGGCATTCTAATGGCTTATTATTTCCAATCAGTCAGAATTAACTTTATAAAAGTCAGTAGTGTGGTCAATAGACAATCTTCAGGACTCAAATAGAGAAGATCTAGCATGCACCTGCTGTTGTTCTTCAAACTCATGCCCACCCCCTGGATAATCACAGAAACACCTGTGTTATTTCCCTTTCTCACCCACCCCTTCCAAAGAAGCAGAATGTTTTTAAAATTCTTTGTTTCTCCATTTTACTGTGTGGAAGGCAAAATCAAGAAACTGCCCTAAGGATCCTTGGTTTATCCCCAATCCATTCCTAACGAGTTTGCAGCTTTGGCTAAAATAACCCAAAGGAAACAAAAATGAGATTAGGGCCACGAATGCCATTTGTTTATTTCCACTGATGACATATCCTGGCTTTTCTATTTGTATAGACTAAAGCTAGAGGTCTGGCTCATAGTAGCCTTTGTAGCCCCAAGAAGGTCGTGGCAGAAACTTACAGATTCAGAAGAGTTTAAGTGACGCAGTGCAGTAAGAGTGGACCAGTGATTTTGGTAAGCTTCCCTGATCAACCCGATGTACGTTAGATTTAGGTTAGAATTTCACCTACCATACTCTTTCTCTTAATCTTCTTTTTTCTAAATTTTTTTTCTTGAGGGAGGGGAGGTAGTCTTTATAAAATTTTTTTTTATGGCTACACATTATAATTTATTTAGACAATCTCAACTAAAAAATTTATATACTGTGTATTGATTAATATTTTATTCAACTTATATATGACCCATACATAAGTACAATTCCTAGTAATTTTACTCAAAAACTAATTTAAATATACCATTGTATTTGTTTTCACAGTTGATAC